GGATTACTGGGGCACATCGCCACGTCTGGTAGGTGCTGGGAGTCTGAGCTCAGGGTCTCAAGCATGCATGCCTAGCTCTTTACTGAGGGAACCACATCTCCAGCCCCGAGCTCTGGTCTCCCTGAGATCTAGTCCTATTTGTAACCAGAGGTTCCAACACACAAAGAGAATTCCACAGAGGGAAGCTGTCCCCACCATCACAAGCTCTATGAGGTAAGGGGACAGGAGGCTGTAGCTGTGGTTAGCCCCACCCCCAGGGGGATGCTTCTGATCCTTATCGACAGGGACCGCAAATATGCGGTTTTGTTGTTGAAATTAAAAGGAGAAAGGAAGCATAGAGCAGCTGTCCGCAGGGACAGCCCTCTTAAAATCTGCAGTGTTGAGGACAGGTCAGGACCCTCAGAAACGCCTAGTGTCCTTTAGGTCTAGAAAGAAGTGAGCTTATTATACTCTTTCATTAGAGTGTGTGACTCAGCAACAAGGACCTTCAGCAGCTCACCGGCCCAAGAGAGTAAATTTAAAATCCTGAAAATGTCGGAACTTTTGACTTCTAACTGAAAACGATTTTCTAAAGAAAATACTTTTCGCCTCGGCTGTTTTCCGATCCCCAGAGGCCATCTCACGGAGGAAAGCAGTGCTCTGTCTGTAAGGTCAGGAGGTTACTGAGACCGAAGAAGAGAGAGAAAAAGAAACAAAGTCTCTACATCAACACTCGGCAGGAAGCGGAGAGTCCAGCCTCTCTGGGAGCCTGCCATCAGCTACAGGGGAATGCCTTTTATTTCCAACAGCTTTCGGGCTGGTTAGTACAATGCTTTTACCCTTAGTCCCGAGCCCCCTTTTTCCCCCTTTGGGGGTGAAGAAACATGCCGGAGAGTCAAGAGTGCAGGCCACACCAGGTTCCCTATAAAAGAGAATTCGTTTACATGTAATCAGAGAAAAGCAGCGCCCCCCCCCCCCCCCCAGGAGGCCCGTTTCCCAAGCACGGGATGGCCTTACTGGAGTTAAAGTGATACAGATGGGGGAGTAGTTTAGAGATGAGGTGACACGGAGGAATTTCCAGATGTGGCTGGATTGTCTGTAGTGAGACATTGAGCATAAATACGTCATCTGAGCCCTTGACATGCAGGCCAGAAATGCTTGCCTTCCACAGATAATGAGACTCTTTGGAAGCAGCGTGGTCTGCTGATTTGGATAATGAATGACCCCGTCACCCCCCACCCCACCCCCACCCCCTGGGATACAACACAGACCTTGGAATTGTATTAGTCTGTTTAAATTCCAGTCTTAGCTCTTGGATCCCTCTAGAGTGAAGAACAAAGCTCACATCCATCCGGCTCTGAAGACCTCACTCTGCACCTGTCAGGCACATTTGACGATCCCCTGCTATCAGAAGCTCTGTAACCGCCTCCGGGGTGCTGTCTCCGTCACGCTCTAGCTAAACTCTTAGATGGCTTTTAAGAGGCGTGTGCACACCAGAGCGGCGGAAAGCGACCCTGGTAACTGCTTCATTGGGTCTCAGGTTTCAAGGACCTCAGGGCAGTCTGAGGTGTGCCTCGGGCCTAGTGTCCAGGAAGTTAAAGAGGAGGCAAAAGTGGGTCCCCAGTGGCCAGGAGACCATTGCTTTACAGGGGCTGGTAGCGCCGAGGCGACTCCGTTTCCCATTTTTTGTGTATTTCTGAGGCACACTCAATTAAGCCTCAGCAGGTACAATGAGAACCATGTGTGTCTCGGCAGTGGCTGATGAGCTTCTGTTTATCCTCAGTGAAACTTACGTTATGGACTTTTTAACAGCCCATCCTGCCCGCAGCAGCAAGGCTGGGGGGTCACGTTTGTTTTAAGAGATGAGGGGAAATTGACTGTTTAATTGCCTACTTTTAAGGTCTGTTCATGTTGGGAACCAGAAAACACAGCCGGCCTACCCACTGGCAGAGAGGTGTCGGTGTCGCAGCAACCGGAAGCACAGTGCATTCAGGCCCCACGACAAGGACGGGCACCCTCGGTCAGCAGGGGAACGGCACTGAGGGCTTGGTTTATTCTTCATGTCTGCACAGTTCAAAGGTCAGCTTCTGGCCTGTACCATGTCCACACATGTCCCAGGTTGGCACGAGTCCCCACCTTTCAGGGTGTGTGAGCGGAGCACAGACACATTGTAGGAATACACGCCTTCTGGCCAAGTTCACATAGATCGAGGGCCCAGAAATGCAACTATCACTCTAGAATTCAATCAATCATCTCTCTTTAACTGTTGCTGCCGAATTCAACCCGACATTTCCCTTCTTGAAAGTATTTGGCTCCGGTTGAGGAAAAGAAGAAATTCAACCTCATCCTGACTCACTTCTGAAGCTTTACTATGTGTCTCACATCTATACATGTACATGAGGAAGAAAAAAGAGAGAAAAAAGTGACTTGGGGCCACTGAGAAGATCAGCCGCTATGTAAGGGGGGTTATGAGGAAATATGGTGACATAACAACAAAGTTCGTGACCTGTAAGCTTCCAGCAGTGTCTGTGATTCAATCTGATTCGAAATGTCTCTTCCCTTTTGATTCTGAAATCAATGCAACTTCTGCTGCTGGACGTGTGGAACTTTCTAAAATGGCTCTAACCACGGATTCCCAGTGAATTCAAATCTCTCAGATTCTTAGGACATAAGGAATACGAACTAGACCAGCGGTTCTCAAACCTTCTAAGTGCTGAGATCCTTCAATACAGTTCCTCATGTTTTGCTCACCACCCAGCCATAAAATCATTTTGTTGCTACTTCATTAGCTGTAATTTTGCTACTCTTATGAATTGTAATGTAAATATCAGATGTGTGACCCCTACGGGAGCCGTGATACACAGATTGAGCGCTGCTGCTCTAGGTCTATTGTCGAGTGGATTGACAGCTAAGGGTCTATCTCCCAAGCCCACAGCGAAAGAATTTGGTAAGGTGATAGTCTAGCTGATGTGGGCAGTTGTGGTAGTTTGAAAGCAAATGGTCCCCCAAAGGAGTGACACTATTAGGAGGTGTGGCCTTGTTGGCATAGGTGTGGTCTTGTTGGAGGAAGTGTGTCATGTGGAGGTGGGCTTTGAAGTCTCATATATGCTCAAGATACTGCCCAGTGTTTCAGACCACTTCCTGTTGCCTGCCAGACATAGAACTCTCAACTGCGTCTCCAGCACCACGTCTGCCATGCTTTCCACCACAATGATAATGAACTGAGCCTCTGAGCTATAAATGAGCCATCCCAACTAAATGTTTTTCTTTTATAAGAGTCGCCATGGTCATGGTGTCTCTTCTCAGCAATAGAAACCCTAAGACAGAAGTTGGTACTAGGGACTGGGGTATTGCTGTGATAGGTCTGACTTTGTTTTTGTTTGGAGGGATCTGGACTTTGGTACTTTGGGTTAGGAAAGCAGTAGAATGGGTTAAGCACTGTTTAATGGCCCATGCATAATTGGCCATCCTAGTAGAGCCACAATGGAAGACAATGGTGCTGAAGACTATTTGAACTGTGTGTGTGTGGGGGGGGACTGCCTCAAGAGGTTGCAGAGGAGAAGAATATTAATATGTAGCCTAGAGATGGTTCTTGTGAAATTTTGGTGAAGAATGTAGCTGCCTTTTACCCTCATCTGGAGCCTGCCCGAGGCTAAAGTGAATCTCACAACAGCCTAGTATAGACTCTGTTGTGTGGTTATTAGTAGTAACTCTAATGAAGATTTATAATGAAAAGGAGCAAATTGTAAAATGTAAAATGTAAGGAGAAAAGAAGCAATAAAAAATTAGAATGGAACCAAGTTCTGTGTTCAAGGAGATAACCAGATTAAGAAATGGAATAAAGGGAGTAGTGACTTCAGGGCAAGATCACACTCAGCCTAGTTTTCAACTTTTGAAAAGGAATTAGAAAAGTTTAGAGCCAGGTGTGTGTGGGGGGGCGCACGCCTTTAATTCCAGCACTCAGGAGGCAGAGGCAGACGGATTTTACCCAGTGTCCAACTTGTGAAAGAGAATTAAGAAAAAGTTCAAAATTGGGTGTGGTAGTGTGCACTTTTAATCCTAGTACTCAGAAGAAAAAGACTGGCAGGTTTCTGATTTGAGGCCAGCCTGGTCTATACAGCAAATTCCTTCACAGGCAGTGAAGATCAGAAGGTTGGTGAACATGTAACTGATCAAGGGGACCATTCTCTGCCCCAGTAAGCAGTAGAACTTGGCAGCTTTGGCCACACGGTTCTGGAGTTAAGGATAGAAGAAAGGGGGTATGTAATTTGCCTCCGAGACTAAAGAAAGCCACTAAGGCCAGGCATGTGTCAGGGCTGTCCTTGAATAGGGGCCCAGAGAGGCCACTGTGTGAAGCTGTGAAGGAGAAGCTTGGATTGTCTTGCAGACCACACGATGTTGGAGGTAACAGGGAAGGGAGCCAGGCCAAGAGAGAGGAGTGTTGCAGTCAACAAAGCTGAAGTGAGTTGGTGATCTGAAGAGCACTTTGACATCACACATGGAGATGCAGTTTGGAGTTTGCCCAGCTGAAGTTTTGGTCCAGTATTTCCTCACTGTGCTCCCTTCTCTATGTTTTGGAATGGAAATGTATATCCTGTGCCATTATATGTTGGAAGTATGTGATCTGTTTTTTTATTTTGATTTTACAGGGGATTACAGCTAAGAGATTGCATGAATCTCAGAAGAGACTTTGACCTTTGAACTTTAAAACATTGTTGAGGCTGTGATAGACCATGGGGACTTTTGAAGTTGGACTGAATGTATTTTTGCATTATGATATGACTACAAGCCTTTGGGGACCAGGGAGTGGAACATGATGGTTTGAAAGAAAATGGCCCCAAAGGGAGTGGCCTTAATAGGAGGTGTGGCCTTGTTGGAGTAGGTGTGGTCTTGTTGGAGGAAGTGTGTCACTGTGGAGGCGGGCTTTGAAGTCTCATATATGCTCAAGATACTGTCCAGTGTCTCAGACCACTTCCTGTTGCCTGCCAGATATAGAACTCTTAACTGCTTCTCCAGCACCGCGTCTGCCTGCACGCTGCCATGCTCTCCACCACGATGATAATGGACTGAACTTCTGAACTGTAAGTGAGCCACCCCAATTAAATATTTTCTTTATAAGAGTTGCCTAACTAAGACAGAAGTGAACTCTCCTATTTCTCTGAGCTCATATTTTTGTTCAGATGCCAAATGTGGACATATACAGAAAACGGGGCCATGTTCTTTACTCTCATGAAGTTTTGAATCTCCTGAGAGAAGACAGACATCAGATATAATAATTTTAGTGAGTGACAAAGACTGACAAAAATATCACAGTGAAATGGAACCAAGAGTGGGGTTCACAGCATTGGGGCTTGTGGCCAGGGAAGTCTAGAGAGCAGACTCTAGATTCAGACCTGCATTCTGAAGCACTGTCTACATGAAACTCCAGGAAGGCACCATGAAGGAGAGACTTAGGAATTGGCTCTGGAGGGATGAGTGAAAAGGGAGAAGTTTGTGGGCAAGGACAGGGCCCCGAAAAGTACACAGTGGCTTTCTCAGGAGCCTCAAGGTTCAGCATGATGGAAGGAGAGTCAGAAGGAGGTCAGGGTGGTGTAGTGGACAATATGGCCAGAAGGGTTGGGGTATGTGTGTGTGTGTGGTTTCAGACCTTCGGTTGGGCCAATACAATCTCCTTGTTGGTGTGTGTGTGCGCGTGCATGCGTGCATGCGTGTGTGTGTGTGTGTGCATGTGTGAAGGCCAGAGGTTGATGTTACATGTCTTCTTCAATCATTCTCTGTCTTATTTTCTGGAGACCCAGTCTCTCACTAAATCTGGAAATTTCCAATTAGACTGGTTAGCCAGCAAGCCTCAGGGGGTCTTTCTGTCTCTGCCTCCCCAGAGCTGGAATAACGAGGGTCTATCACCCTCCTTTCTGATCTTTTTACAGAGACCCTCACAGGTCTCAGAGTTACACAGAGAAGCAGTCAGGACCAGACGCCTGGATGAAGCTCTCCAATCGCAAAGCTGCTTCTCCACCGATAGAGCAATGATGGCCTGTGGTGAGGAGGGACGGAATAAAAAGCAATCTATGTTACTTAGTTTTGAATTTTTATTTTTACCTTTGGAGCCCATGGAGAAAATGAAGCCAGCGCCCTAGGATAGGAAAGAGAGAAAATAAATCTAGAAATAAATCTAGCCCTTTTTTTTTTCCTTTGAAAAGATGGGGGAAGAATGATTAGGCAATGGCTCAACTCCTCTAAGAGAGGGAGTGAGGCAAGTGTTTTCCATTTTAGCTAAGGAAAGGTCAGGAGGGAAATGAGAGCAGGGGAGATGGAGGCTAGTCATAACAGTGGGATTTGAGGGATGCTCCGCTGGCTTAGCAGAGAAATACGGTTCTGTTGTACTGAAAAGATGTCTTGACTCCATTCTGCCCAAAGATAGAGGGCTACATCCTATGCTCTCCGTGGTCACTATGTCTCACTGGTGGGGGCGGGGCCTCTAAGCCTGGGCTTCTCTCTAGAGGGACCTCTCACCTAGAGAGCAAGTCTGGCACAGGGCAGGCCATTGAATTCCTCCCAAAGAAGGCTGAGCGGGGACGGGTGGGGGAAGCGGCATGAGTTCAAAATGGGGTACAGTAGTGGGAATTAAAACAGAAATGTGAGCCGCTCAGGTTTGATTTGGGTTATCTGCTGTTTTAAAGCGCCAGGCCTGGCTTGTGAGCAAGCTGAACCTCACTCAGCCCTGAAGCCGGCTGCCAGGAGACTTCTTGTTGCAATTAGCATCCAAGCATAGCTAAATCGTAAAACCCAGGATGACTCTCACGTGAAAAACATCATTTTAAACACCAGCGTCGTCGACAGCCACTGACAGAGAAATGAGTGACTCACAGCGTGATAGAGAACTCCCCCCCCGCCCCCCCCGCCCCCCCCCACCCCCGCCACAGACTTCTGAACCCCATGTCAGGGCCTTGAGGGGTGGGGCTGCCACTTCCAAAGAGAAAATCAAACCAAGTGAGGGCAAGGCAGAGACCACCCCACAGACCAAGTGACATGGCACCATGCAGAGAGACCTCACTACACATCCTCTAGGGTTGCCTAGTCACCTGCCCCACACGAGAGGACTTGCTGCCCACCCTCCCGTCCTCCCCGACCATCCCCTGCCTCCTTAATTTATCTCCATAGCATTTGGCACCAAGTAATGTGCTGTGGGCTCTCCTTTTTTTGTCTTCCCCTCCAGGAAGGTAAGCTGGAGGACAGTTAGCGATGATTACAGCTCTATCTTATTCTCCGTAGTAACCCAGTCCTTGACATGGGCTGGGTGTAAAGTATTTGTTGAATGAAAGGACGCGTGACTTTAAAAAAGTATTTCCCCGACAGCAGCAGCTGTCCTCACCGTGACAGCCAGGGAAATGCAAGCGTGTTAGAAATAGCACACTGTGGACCGGCGTTCTCAAACGGGGATGTGCGCGTGAACAGCGCAGGGGTCTTGTCCAAAGCAGATTTGGAGTCAGAAGTTCAGACGCAGCCTGAGGCTGCATTTCTACAGGTCTGTCTCCTAGACGGTATCGGTGCAGCTGGGTGGCATCACGCCTGACCATCAGAATGACGTCATGAGGCCTTGCAGGGGGCCGTGCCGCCCAGTGGTCAAAGTGAATACCAAGCCAGGTTCTTACAAACTCAGACCTTGGGTGTCCCTTTAGCTCTTTTCCATGCTCCTCACCGAGTTAGGTAACCAGAAGAACTTGTCCTGGTATGTATAGAACTTGACACTGTGGCTCTGAACTGCATTTCTCTGTGACACGTTTATTTCTCTCTCTCCTGTCTCTCTCTCTCTCTCTCTCTCTCTCTCTCTCTCTCTCTCTCTCTCTCTCTCTCTCTCTCTCTCTCTCTCTCTCTCTCTCTCTCTCTCTCTCTCTCTCTCTCTCTCTCTCTCTCTCTGTGTGCGCGCGTGCGCGCGCGCCTGCAAGTGTGCATGTGGAGGCCAGAGGTTGACTTTGGCTACTGTTCTGGTTATCTTTAATTGTCAGCTTAGAATCTTTTAGAAGAAGACTAGAGTCTCCTTCCTGGGAAGGAAGTCCCAGTGAGGAATTTTCTAGATCAGGTAGGCTGTGGGCATGCCCATGAGGCATTTTCTTAAGTAACTGAGCTGGAAGACCCACCCTGAAAGTGAACAGCACAGTTTCATGGCTGGCTGGGCTCTGGACTCACAAAGTGAAGAAAGCCAGATGACGCCAAACCCAAACAGTGAGCGTGTGTTTATTCTCTCTCTGTTCTCTACTGTGGACACCGTGACTTGAGTTCCTGCCTTGCCGTTCCTGAAATAACAGCCTGTAGTTTGGACGTGTGAGACAAACAGGCCTTTCTGTCCCTGCATTGACTCTTGTCAAGCCGCTCCATCAGAGCAACAGAAGAGCAACTTCCTCTACAGCTGTCTACCTTGTGTTTGAGACAGCGTCTCCCCCTCAACTGTGAGCTTCCTAATTGGCAACACTGGCTGCCCAGCTAGTCCCAGAGCCCTAATCCTCTCCCCTAGCACAGGATAAGATGTGTGCTGCTGTGCTGGCTTCTACCTGGACGCTAGGGATGGACTCAGGTTCCCATGCTTGCATGATAATCGCTTTGCCCGTGGAGTATCTCCCCAGCTTTTGATAGGTTTGAATAATATGAATTTAGTATTACTATCTTGACTCTAGCAGCCCCTTTCAGAACTTGAATGGGGTAGATGGAGTTGTCACTCGCTTAACCAGAACAGAAGAGCCTACGGAATGCTGAATGGGGTAGATGGAGTTGTCATTCACTTCGCCAGAACAGAAGGGCCTATGGAATGCTGAGACTGTGGTAATCCATGTCTACTCTTACAAAGTCAGACTTTCAGCTGAATAGATTACAGTCCCTTGGAACAGACTCCTGAAAGGGGGAGGGACGCTGTCAGGGCTCATATCTGACAGCTTCTTTTACCCGTAGAGTTTGTGGGAACACCCATTATTCTTCACCTGAGCCTACAACGCCTCAAGTCTTTTGATCTTTGTCAGTTCACAGATTAAAATCTCATTTTTAGCTTGCGATGCTCTGAATTCAAGGGAGGAAGACCACGCTTATTTGCCACTTAAACTTGCCCTATGAATTTCCTGCTTACGCCCTCCCCTTGTATGACTTTTGGCTTTTTTTGTTGTTATTTTGAAAAACAAAAAATATATCACTTCCCTATTAACAATGCTGCAAATATCTTTCCACCAAATACCCCTGGGCTTTATGAAGTATTTTGATGCTACGAAAGGTTAATATTTTTATAGATTTATATCTGTCATGGTAGTTTGAACGAGAAGTGTCTCCCAAAGGTTGGGGTCTTTGAGGACTCAGCTCCCCGTTGGCGGCGCTGTTCGGGAAAGAGGTGCAGGCCTCGTGGAGGAAGTGCTGGGTTTGCCAGTTCATAACCATGCCCTGCTTCCGGCTCTTTCTCTACCTAGTGTTTGCAGTGAAAGATGTGATATGTCAGCTTCCTGCTCCCCTGTCATCATGGTCACTGAGACCATGAGCCCAAATGATTCTCTCCCTTAAGTTGTCATTGGCCATTCTATCACAGCAGCAGGGAAGTGACTGACTATCTGTCAACCTTTTCTTTGGGATTTGTCACTGCCCTAGAAGATGTGTTTCCTGTCCAAAGATTATGAAAGTATTCAGCACTTTTCACGCTTAAAAAAAATAAAAAGAAAACATCTGGCATCTGTCTGCATCGTGCAGGTGCTTTCCTTCCAACTGAGCAGCCAGCTGTCTTTACGATGTTTGCTAAATGGTCTTCATACAACTTACACCTTTCCCCCTTTCTTCTAGCCCTTCTCCATGTCCTCTTCCAGAGAGCACACAGGGTCTTGGAGGCTTGGACAGCGGGTACTCCTAAGAGGAGCAAGTGCGACTAACACTAAGACAACTGCCCTCATTGGCTTTGCTTGTCAACGAGACACAGACTAGAGTCAACTGAGGAGGGAGTCTCAACTGTCAGTCTCTCTATGGGGGACTGTCAGTCTATGGGGGACTGTCAGTCTATGGGGGACTTTCAGTCTATGGGGGACTGTCAGTCTATGGGGGACTGTCAGTCTATGGGGGACTGTCAGTCTATGGGGGACTGTCAGTCTATGGGGGACTTTCAGTCTATGGGGGACTTTCAGTCTATGGGGGACTGTCAGTCTATGGGGGACTGTCAGTCTATGGGGGACTTTCAGTCTATGGGGGATTGTCAGTCTATGGGGGACTGTCAGTCTATGGGGGACTGTCAGTCTATGGGGGACTTTCAGTCTATGGGGGACTGTCAGTCTATCTACGGGGGACTTTCAGTCTATGGGGGACTGTCAGTCTATCTACGGGGGACTTTCAGTCTATGGGGGACTGCCAGTCTATGGGGGACTGTCAGTCTATGGGGGACTGTCAGTCTATGGGGGACTGTCAGTCTATGGGGGACTGTCAGTCTATGGGGGACTTTCAGTCTATGGGGGACTTTCAGTCTATGGGGGACTGTCAGTCTATGGGGGACTGTCAGTCTATGGGGGACTTTCAGTCTATGGGGGACTTTCAGTCTATGGGGGACTTTCAGTCTATGGGGGACTGTCAGTCTCTCTATGGGGGACTGTCAGTCTCTCTATGGGGGACTGTCAGTCTCTCTATGGGGGATTGTCAGTCTATCTATGGGGGACTTTCAGTCTATGGAGGATTGTCAGTCTATCTATGGGGGACTGTCAGTCTATGGGGGACTTTCAGTCTATGGGGGACTTTCAGTCTATGGGGGACTATCAGTCTATGGGGGACTGTCAGTCTATGGAGGATTGTCAGTCTATCTATGGGGGACTGTCAGTCTATGGGGGACTTTCAGTCTATGGGGGACTGTCAGTCTATGGGGGACTGTCAGTCTATGGGGGACTTTCAGTCTATGGGGGACTTTCAGTCTATGGGGGACTGTCAGTCTATGGGGGACTGTCAGTCTATGGGGGACTTTCAGTCTATGGGGGATTGTCAGTCTATGGGGGACTGTCAGTCTATGGGGGACTGTCAGTCTATGGGGGACTTTCAGTCTATGGGGGACTGTCAGTCTATCTACGGGGGACTTTCAGTCTATGGGGGACTGTCAGTCTATGGGGGACTGTCAGTCTATGGGGGACTGTCAGTCTCTCTATGGGGGACTGTCAGTCTCTCTATGGGGGATTGTCAGTCTATCTATGGGGGACTTTCAGTCTATGGAGGATTGTCAGTCTATCTATGGGGGACTGTTAGTCTATGGGGGACTTTCAGTCTATGGGGGACTTTCAGTCTATGGGGGACTGTCAGTCTATGGGGGACTGTCAGTCTATGGGGGACTATCAGTCTATCTATGGGGGACTTTCAGTCTATGGGGGACTGTCAGTCTATGGGGGACTGTCAGTCTATGGGGGACTTTCAGTCTATGGGGGACTGTCAGTCTCTCTATGGGGGACTGTCAGTCTCTCTATGGGGGACTGTCAGTCTCTCTATGGGGGACTTTCAGTCTATGGGGGATTGTCAGTCTATCTATGGGGGACTGTCATTAGTAATTGACATAAGAGAGCCCGGCCCACAGTGAGTGGCACCATTCCATGGAACAGTGGAATGCTAAGTATGAACCTGGGAGCGAGCCAGCCCGCAGTGTTCCTCCATGGTCTCTATTTAAAGGTCCTTGCTTGACTTCCTGTCCCGATGCCCCCCGGTGATGGGCTGTGACCTGGAAGTGTGAGCCAAACCAACCCTTTCTTTACCCAAGTAGCTTTTGGTCAGAGTGTTTCATCACAGCAACAGAAAGGAAGCTAGGACAGTACCCAAGTCCCCTGAGTGAAATCCCAATTCCATTCCACATCCCAGAAGGGTGTGGAGGATGCCATGCCCTTAGCCAGTCACACCCCACCCAGTGACCTGAGACCATGTAGCCAGTCACACCCCACCCAGTGATCTGAGTGGTGTCAGGTCACTAGAGCAAGAGGTGAATGGGACCAGGCTCTGCCTTCACTTCCAGAAAACATGGGCCCTAAGACCAAGGGTGAGCTTCAGGCTTTGAGACAAGTGTCTGGGATCCTTGCCCATCTCTGCAGCGTACCAATACTACTCATGTGACGGATTCCGGTCCCCTCGTCACTCGGTCATCCAGTGAGGACTCTCCATAGGAACACAGTGCCTCAACACTTGCTGTCTGGGAATCTGCTTTCCCCTCTCCTGCTCATGTTCATGGCCGGTCATCCACCGGAGTTAGCCTCTGGGAATTCTGTGAGTGACCACACCCTAAATACTGTTTCGACAAACCTAAGGGTTTGGTTCTGACGACTCAAAACCTCGAATGTATCCAGCCCCTCTTGGGAGTTTCAGGGTCACCGGTCCCACTCACAGACAAGCCACTCTAAAAACCCCTGGGGAAAACCTCACGCGTCTCTGTGGACGGCAGACCAGTAAAGAGGACAAAGAGTACACATGGCTCTGAGATGCCTTCACATCCAAGTGACTCGGTGCTCTGATTTGGCCCGTAGGTACTTCTGCTCACCGCGTGGGGTTTGCGTGTCATTGTAACACTGTAGACGCTCATGTGAGCAGCCCTTACAGAACTCTGTGCCACATGAGAACACCATTCTTCCAGATACTGGGGACAAGACAGGGCACTGGTTGCTATGTTAGTGACAATTCAGGAGAGGGGTGGGGGATGCTTTGCATGTTTAAGGCCCTGGTTCAATTCTCAACACTAAAAATAAAAAGCAAGAAGACTGTGTACTTTGCCCAGCTCAAGCTAAGGTCAGGTAGTGTCACCCATCAGTACACAACAGCTGGGGACTGTCTTCTGCCAGTTTGGCAGGTCCCACAGACAAGGACACAGCGCAGGACACACATGGACTAATATGAGGCAAACAGGCAGCTCAGCAGGCAGCCCAGGGGCCGGGGCTGGCTCCACACTTAACTCTCACATGGCTTTAGTCTCAGGCCCATGTGACCCAAGGGGATGCCAAGGCCAGAAACCATGACTGCATCGCACAAGGCTTCCCAAACCTCCACCCTGTGGGCAGTGTCCTTTCAACTCTAGGTCTAAACGTGTCACAGGCCTGCCCTGCTTTACAAACCATGTATGGAGATAGCATCTCTCTGGCTGGTGGCCTGTCCCTCCCATGCTTTCCTGACCCCCCTCAACCCAGCCGGAATATGCTTTCCTGTGTGGTAACTCCCTTAGGTTCTGTGCCTGCATCCTTCCCAGGGACTCAAAGAGAAGTGGTTGCCTCATTTTCCATTGCCCAGGAGATTAAACCATCTCTTTAACAACCGAAAGTCAAGTCACTGGGCACAGGGTTCTGTTGAGCTTGTTTTCAGTACACCCCCTGAACTGGCTTATAGGGCTAGTAACTGCTTTAGAAGGTGGACTTGCACTCAGGGCCCACAGATACTCTCTGAGCACTTTTATCATAGTCTGAGCACTGCACTAGGTCCCAGAGAGTTAGAGTGCGGGTCATACACACACACAGATCCCCACCCTGTGTTAAAGGGAACAGGCTCGAGGAGCTTAAGTGGCATAATAAGAAAACAGATGTCAGCTTGATGACAAGGCAGAATGTGAGCAGGGAAGAGGGATGAGGAGGGTGAAGAGAGAGGCTGCAGGAGAGCCAAGGTGATCAGGAGATGTCTGGTGTACCTCAGGGAGGAGGCCGTGTGGCTATCTGGGGGAAGGCCATCCCAGTGGAAGGAAGGTGCAGGCTGAATTCTGGAGGTGGGAGATCATCTGCAACCGGCAAGGAGGCTGGAGTAGAGGAGCCTGGGCAGGAGGAGGTGGGGACCAGTGACAGGCGATAGAGCCTGGGGGACAGCAGAGCTTCTAGAAGAAGCTACGGGGAGGTTTTACACAGAGGTGTGTCAGTCCCTAACCAAGGACGGACTGTAGGAGACCAGGGCAGAGACAGGGACACTAGCGAGGGGACCACTACTACAACCTGTGGTGACAGCAGCGTTTAGCCCAGGGCTTCGGAAGCAAAGGCGCAAACAGTGCTAACACTGGGGTTTTTATGAAGGGGCACGTGTTAGGTTTGCCCACATGCTGGATTCGAAGTCCATGAGAAAAGGAGTTTAGGATGACCCGAGGCTTTTGACCCCCAGCTCTGGAGGATGGAGTGGCTGCTTGCTGAGATTATTGCAGCAGGCGGGAAAGAAGCTAAGGTGTGAAGGCGGTCTGCTCTCTCTAAAAGTCACACTTGCATTTAATCTCCCGTGCTTAATGTGACAATGGTGCTTAAAGGTGGGGCCTTTGGTGGGTGACTGGGGTTAAACGAAATCACCAGAACGCAGGTTCCGTGACTGAATACCGGTGCCTACAGTTAGACTTCCTGAGCCTTGTGAGTAGATGCCAGGGTGTGGAACACAAATGTCAAGCAGGCAGCTCAAAGCTGAAACCAATGTAGGACACAAATGGAGGACTCACCACCATGTCCTGGACCTGAAACATCTCTGCACCACCAGGTGACAGCCGGCTGGGGAAGGAGATGCTGACAGATGCCCCAGGAAGGGTGCTCGGACCCGTGTTGTAGACCTGTGGGTTGGAGTACACAGCAAGTGTCAGTAAGACAACGGTCCTTCATGTCATGTCATGTCATGTCATGCCTCTTTGCCCTAAGGGCTCTGAACCAAACACAGAAACATTACGGCTTGGGTCTAAGATGTGACTTTATTTTTTAAGATATGCTTTGAATTGAAATAGAACTACATCATTTGGACATAACTTTAATTGAAATTAAATGCTAAATAATTGGGGATGTCTAACAAATTGAGCATTTCCTTATCCTCTTCTTGTTAAAAATACATATTTAACTTTACATACCTAGAAATTTATTCACAGAGGATAATTGGTGGGAACTCAGATATTACAAAAAAGAAATGTTCAGGGTTTCTTACACTCTAGAATGACATCAGGACTATCTTGGGGGCTTGCTCAAACACAGATGGGTGGTTTATGGATAGTCACAACCAGAGTTTCTGATGCGGTTGGTCTGAGTGATGGTACACCTACATTTCCCAGGAGATTACACACCAGGAGTAATCTCTGAGGTCCAGTGACCTGGTCCAAACTCTTTTTCCTTTCAGCCTGAGATAATGATGACCTTCAGTGATCTCGAGGCTGTTCCTAAATGAAGTGATCTGATTCCCACAAAGGGTCAGGACATGTGCTGTCCGGGTCATTCTGCTGACATAGTTTGGTGGCATCTGTGTATCTCAGTGTCTGACCCTGCCAAACTTGATCCCCTTCCCTCCTCTACCATCTTCATCCTCATCTTCATCTTCATCTCAAAGCCAAGCAAGGAGGGGAAAGAAAGAGCCACAAAGAGACCAACAAGGGTGAGGTGATAAGGACTGCAAATTAAACCCAGAGCAGAAACAGAGTATGAGGAGGAATTTACAAAATGGGTACATTTACAAGAAGGGTTAATGGTTGCCCAGGTGAGAGAGATAACTTATTACTCATTGTAACCACCACAAGTGGCGCTGGAACTCACAGGCTGTAACAGAGTAACCAAGACTGAACTGTAGAGTTTCTTCTGACACCTTTACTGAATGTCTGGACCCACTGTTGTGATCAAGAGAAGACTCCTTCCGTAAGACTGTCACAACTGACAATGTACCCGGCTACCCAAAAGCTCTGATGGGTGGGTTTTTTGCACCATTTGATAAAACTGTGAATGCAGAGGAAATGTTCCCCCGAGGAAATTAAAAGTGCTACCCCAGTGAACACATGACTAACTAATCAAGCAGGCTGTGAGCAGAGATGTACTTTGGAGGTGTGTTTCGAGACCCATGTTTGTTTTGGGAAAGGACTTCCCTAAGAAAGCTCAGTTCTGCCTTCAGACTCACCATGTGGGTCAACCTGTCCCTGAGTTCACAATCCTCCTGTCACTGTCTCCCAAAGGCTAGGACTGCAGGCATGCACTGCCACACTAAGCTACAATTTTAACTTGTCAGCTACAAAAAAGATGAGAACGAGGTGAGTGGGAGAGAGACAAAGGCACGAAACCTTGCCTGGCAGCCTGGGAATGTGAAGCTCAGCATATCCCTGAAGCCGAGACCACAGAGGTAGAACCAACAAAGAACAAACCTGCCCCAGACTGTGCATTCACACATGGAAGGAGGGAGGGATGGATGGAGGGAGGGAGGGAGGGAGGGAGGGAGGGTGGGAGGCAGGGAGCTCTATCTGTAGCCAGCTTGCCCTTAGGCAGCCAGATCTTTAGGTCTTTTTCACAGCTCTGCTTCAGTGGACAGATTTTTTTTTAAAGGTTGTCAGCGTTGATTCCCAAAGAACAACATTTACAACAGCAGCCCTCAAACACAAGAAAAGGAAAGAGTACCCAGCCACAACAGAAACAACTCACTTCAAGAAAAAAGCAAGAGCTCGGAATTGCAGAGACCCCTCCTGCCAAGCCTGGGACTCCCAACTGAGAGCTTGGAGGGGTGGGGGTAGGGAAGGGGTCTCTGCTCACGGGGTTTTACTTATCAAAGGTAGCCTGTATCGTCAGACTCACCTTTACTATTATCTTCCTAGAACTTAGGAGGCAGAAGCAGGAAAGTTACCAGTTCTAGGATAACTTGGGTCACACAGTTGATCTGGTCTCAAAAACAACAAAGTAGCCAGGTGGGGTGCACGCCTTTAACCCCCCACTCGCAAGGAAGAGGCAGGAGGATCTCTGTGAGTTCTGGGCTAGACAGGGCTACACAGTGAGATTCTGTGTAGAAAACCAAAACCAATGAACCGAAGCAACAGAAGCTTGCTGTGCCAACACCTCAACACCTGTGTTTGTATAAAGGCTTGTGCGTGATATCTGCAATATATTTCCTCATAATTCTTCAGGTGAGGGAAGCATTTGGACTCCTGATGGGAAAGTCGAAGCAAATGAAGTCAAACCAAACCACAAACCAATCACTATTAACAGTCGATGAACTTCTGTCTCTGTCAGGAAAACTACCCACAAAGTATCAAAAGCCACCCAGAAAGAATTTCTGCTTTCTCCCAGCTACATCTGCAGTGGAGCCTTTTAGCTGCTATGTATCTTGTTGAATGAGAGACATACTAATAAAAGACACAGAAAGACCCCTCCTTGGGGCAGCCTTGCTTCTGCTTCAGGAGTGATACTGCTGGAACAAGGAAACACTCAAGAGATTTCTGTATATTCCTTCCCTCTCTCCACACCAGCCCCCACTCCTGGTCATTATCACTACCAATCTGAGTGACAGGCAACTGTGATCACAATGGTTGTACCAGAAAAACGAGTCAGTAGATAAGGCTCCAGGAAGGCTTTGCTAACGTGGGAAGGTCTCTTTCCAATCCACAGCTCACTGACCACTCTCTGACCCAGCCCACTGCCTCGAACTTGTATTGACAGCTGATGCTTCCTCAGGCCCTAGCTTATAGCCCACCAGTGTTTTATCTAATGCCATGTCAACCATTCATTCTCCAGGGCCACAGTCTTCAGCTGGGTTCTTCTCTTTAGGTCACATGTGAAATAAGCTATGTTCCTAGGCACCAAACTTTAAGTTCCCTTTAAAAATACCTTCAGAGAGCCAACTGGAAGAATAAGTGGCATGCCCTTATAATCTGTCCGTCTGTCCATCTGTCCATCCATCCATCCATCCATCCATCCATCCATCCACCCAACCGTCCGTCCATCCATCCATCCATCCATCCATCCATCCATCCATCCATCCATCCACCCACCCATCCATCCATCCATCCACCCATCCATCCATGTATCTACCCACCCACCTACCCATCTATCCATCCATCTACCCATCCATCCATGCATCCACCCACCTGTCTGTCCATCCATCCATCCATCCATCCATCCATCCATCCATCCATCCATCCATCGTCCCATCCATCAATCCTTTTCTTCTATCCTCTAAATGGGCACTAATTCAATATCTGCTATAAATCTGGTATTTTATGTAGCTAGCATTCCTCTTGCCTTTTTCAGTCTTCAGGTTTTTTTTTTTATGACACTGTCTGGGTCAGCTGAATCTTTCTAAAAAATTGTCTTGTCTGCATCCTGTATTTCAAGAGAGAAGGGATGTAAATCAGGAAAATAAATCTACCTGGTGTTTGCTTCCTATCCAGCTGAGGGGCGCAAAGGGGAATACTGAACGGGCTCTGAGAGGTGCTTCTGGAACGTGGAGGCGCAGTCACAGCTGTCACTCTACAGTCTCCACAGTGAACCCTGAACTCTCTTTCCTGGTCTCCTCCATAAATCAAGGGCAGGGGTGACAGCTGGGCTTAGCTAGTCAAGGACGCCTCCCCTCTAAGCTGGAAACATGTGTTATCCATCTTGGTTTTGGGGTCCTCCTGGCCCAGAGGACACTCGAGGTGGAGTAAGATTATTGCTTGTAAACCTCCAAATGCTTTGGCTTCATCCTGGGGGCCCTCACCATGTCATTATTTGTTATCCCTATGTCCACTTAGGAGGAACCACAGACAAGGACAATCGTTATTTGGTCATGGTTAGTGACTATCACACAGGGAGACCATCCTCTCCATGCAGGAGGATGGGCAGGCAGGGGAAAGTGCTGGGAGGCAGAACCCAGGACTGTGAGACGTTCACTCAACAAGAGGGGTCATTGCTTCTTGAGTTTTCCAGTTAATGCCTGGCCAGTCCTAGCCCAGGCTTGCCTCCCCTAGCTCTGGGACCATGCTGCACATCCAAATTTCCTTGTACTTGCAGCAAACTAGGCCTCACAGATCAAATCTGGCCCAGTGCCTACTCTTGTACACTGTACAGGCTAAGGACAATTACATCATGACATTTTTGGGGGGAAAAATCAGAGTAACATTCCATGGCATATAAAAGATGCATGCAAAGTAAATCTCCATGCATAACTGAAGCATCGACATCTTTCCCTGTGACTACCTTCTCGACACCCTCCACAGCTCAACAGGGGTCACCCAGGCTGTGCAGCCTACAGGGCCTCTTTCAGAAAAAGCCTGCAACCTCCGAGAGAAGGACCAGCGGCCTTCTAATGTCTGCAGACCACAGACCAAGTAGACCTGTGGAGCTGCTGCTTAGGAAACCGGGTCAGCCCAGGCCCTCCGTGGGATCGGCCCACTTCCCAAGGTGCATGGGCTCACAGGGTCTGCTCTCAGAAAACAACTTCTGGAAGGCTGGTCCCCATGGGAGGAGACGTCAGCTGAGCCACCGTGAGAGTCGTAGAGGAAAGGGAGTCCCTGGAGGCTCTCCCAAAGCTCTTAAGGTGGGGGACTACGGCAAGTACAAGCCTGGCAAAGTTCTTGTTCCCTGGCAGTGGTTCTCAACCTGTGGGCTGCAATCCCCACGGGGATCACATCTCGGATACCCTGCATATCAGATATTTACATTACAAGTCATAACAGCAGCAAAATCGCAGTTATGAGGCGGCAATGAAATCATTTTATGGTTGGGGGTCACCGCAACACACAGAACTGTATTAAAGGGTGGCAGCGTTAGGGAGGTTGAGAACCACTGCTCTTCGGCGTGGCTGTTCTAAGCCCTGGAGAGCACAGAGGTCCGCAGGTTTGCAGTTCTCTCTCTCTCAATATCTCCGTCCCCCCAACACCCCATACCAGAAAAAGACTGCAACAGTTCCTTCCAGAAAGAAAATAAGAGAAAAGCTGGCCCGTCACCAGGGACGTGTCCGTGGGTGGTTACCTGGAGAGTGATGTTGAGGGGTTGGAAATGACACTCCTGGTCATCCAGCTGAAGGAAGTTGGATGCATCCACAGACTCACCATACACAAAGGACGTTGGGGACACAATTCTGAAAGAGGAAAACATGAACTCTGTCATTCCACCCGAGGTCAGGCCCTTAGGTCACTGCTGGGTCGAGAACTCAAATATCACCTCTCTCCCACGCATTTTCTTCCTTGCTGGGTGGGTCACTTCTCTCTCCTGTAAGTAGACACAGCTGGCCCATGGCTTCCTAATGGACGTTTCTTAGGCCACGCTAATAAAGCCACCTAAACATTATATGCTGAGACTATACTTCTTCGTATATATGTACCTCCTTGTTCTCTTGCATGAACACATAGTTAGAGAGGTCAGAGTTCAACATTGAGTGTCCTCCTTCTCTGTCCATCTTATTTTCTGAGACAGAGACTCTCACTGAACGATCTGCGTGTGCTGGGGTTATGGCCATCCCTGGGTTCTTACATGGGTGTGGGGGATCCGAACTTGGATCCTCATGCTTTCATTTTGCAACCACTTCACTGACTGAGCCACCTCCCCAGACACCCTCCCGCTTATGTTCCTAAAACGGGTTTTAAAAATCAAAAGGTACAGAAACAAAACAAAACAAAACAAAATCACACATTCTGTTTGTCATTTCAAAGGAATTTCTGTGGTGCACACTGATAAGAAGCTTTTGAGAAATGAATGTAAGCTATGCATCTGGCAACCAAAACTGTAACAAGTTTATTTTAAGCACCATTTGTATTTATCAGGCTTCCATGCTTATTAGAAAATTGGGTATTTTGGGGGTTTGCAAGATAGCTGAGGAGGTAAAGGAGCTTGCCACAAAGCCCGGTGACCTGAGTTCGGTCCCTGGAACCCACATGGTGGAAGGAGAGGCCTAGACTCCCCTGAGTTGTCCTCCGACTTCCACATGTACCATGGTGCCCGTGCCTGCACACATATATACACAATCAATAAATGTGCTAAAACGTTAAAAAGAAATAGGTACTTCAAAGGGGGAATAAATTCAATGGTGGCATGACCTCATACATTTTAGATCATGGTCTTCTAAGAGGTGACTTCTCTTGGTGATGATACTTTCCCCATTGCCCACGTGAATAAACAGTCCCACCACACAACAGAGGTCAGACTGATGCCCCCTAACAGTGGATTCTAGGTGCTCAAAGCCTCTCAGCACAACCGTGTGAGAGGACTTGTGAGACTTGTCCCCACCCTCTGTTCCCGTGGCAAATACTTTATGTACTAATAGTGTGAGTTCCAACCACTGCCAAAAGGCAAGAAACGGTTCGCTTAAACTCACTCTACTCCCCATCCCTGGAAAGACCAGAGCTTGACTCATCGGTTTGACTGACGGTTTCATGGGGGGCTGTTAATACCTCATAGCCAGGTCTCCTAAGGCCTTGACAACATGATGGAGAGAGTGTGTGTGTGTGTGCGCGAGCGCGCGAGATGTTTGTAACCTCATCCCCAAGGACAAGGTCTGGTTCTGGGCATTTTGTACTATCCCTTAGACAGGTTGGGTAAATAAACCACATGGTTAAAGACAGAGCTGTGAACACAGGCAACATGTGCCATTTTGCAAATACGCCCGGCCAGGGCCTCATGTCTAAGGATATACTATGAAACGCCAAGCAGGAAGGCAGGGCTCATTGCTCGGCCGGCTCCAGCAGAGTCCAGCTACTGCAGGCACGGCCCCTCCCTCCATGGAGCAGCGTCTCCCTTCTGGTCCAAGGCTTAGATCCAGAAGCACTGAAAACTGAGACGTGAGAACCTGAACTTTCAGGAAGTTCAGCTTGCGTTTGGGTTAAGGATTCATTGAGTTCCCATTTGATCTAAACTGATTGTGTGACCCCCCTCTCCCGCCCCCACTTCTCTGCTATCAGAGAAGTATGTAACCTCTTTGCAGAAGCCAGAGACAGGAACCGGGTTCGCATTTTTCTAAGCTTGAGTTCTGGCTGGAAGCTGACTCGAGTCACTTCATGACCCCACAGCCCACAGCCAAGAGCCCTGCTTTCCAACAAAACCAGTGGCGCTGACTGGCCGTGGATGTCACCTAGACTGGTTGGCTTTGCTTTAGTGATGGCTGCCTTGTCCATCCCAGACCACCACAGGTATGAGGCAGAGCCGTTTCTGGCTGTGCTCAAGGAGGTAACAGAAATACGAGAAGCCAGAACTGACAATGGAGCTGATCACAAGGGCAGCCTTCCTTCCCGTGAGCCGGGGTTTGAGGAGACCTGACTGCAACCTCTGGGCCTTGCAGCTTTTGGCTGATGCCTTGATCCCATAACCTGACACTAGACAGCATTCTGGAGTGACTGTGTGCGTCAGGGGTGGGGTGCGCCAGGAATGGGTACACACAAAGATACACAGAATGTTCCCAGAAATTGTGGGCTCTAAACTGCTCATCTCACACGTGTCTGGGTAGCTGGGGCTGACCAAGTAAAAAACAGATGGGAGGTGGGTATGGGTCATGGCAGGTGAAGTTTCTTCCTGCTTTCCAGGGCTGGCAGGCAGGGAGGTGGCAGAGTCACACGCAAATTGGAAGCGGCATGACCTTGTGTGCTGGGCGCCCCGTGTCCTGATGCTTACCCAGTGATGGACGTGTCCACTTCGTGCACCAGCGGCACGGTCAGAGTGAGAGCGTTGTCGTGCAGGGCCTCGGAGCGCTCCACGTTTCCACTGTGTGGGAAGGGAAGAATGAAGGGACGGCGTGGTCAACGCAAGCCACTTAGCAGTCGGCTTGCCTGCCCCGTGCTACACACCAACCTTTACATCCTATAGACTCACTTCGTTTGTCCCCATTCTGTCTGTGGTGGAATCCCCCCCCCTTCGGAGGCATGTACAACAATGTGGGGTAGGCAGTACACGTGGGAGTCACTGAGGGAAGTCAAGGCAGGGACTTAAAACACCACATTCATAATTTTTTTTTGGGTTTTTTCGAGACAGGGTTTCTCTGTATTGTTTTGGAGACTGTTGGTCCAGCCTGGCCTCAAACTCACAGAGATCCGCCTGCCTCTGCCTCCCGAGTGCTGGGATTAAAGGCGTGCGCTACCACCGCCCGGTCACCACTTTCATAATTAAGAGCAGAAAGATGAGTGCACTCACACAGTCTTCTCCAGTCTTTTTTTTTTTGAAGATTTATTTATTTATTATGAATAATCCTGCCTCCATGTCTGTCTGCAGGCCAGAAGAGGGCGCCAGATCTCATTATGGATGGCTGTGAGCCACCATGTGGTTGCTGGGAATTGAACTCAGGACCTCTGGAAGAGCAGTCAGTGCTCTTAACCTCTGAGCCATCTCTCCAGCCCCACCTTCTCCAGTCTTACACAGTTCAGGAAGCCCTGCCCAGGGAATGGTGCGCTCACAATGGGCTAGATTCTTCCCACATCAATCAACAATCAAAGGCATGTCCATAGACTAACCTGACCAAGAGAGTCCTTACTCAGTGATTGTAGCAAGTTGACAGTTAACACCCACCCGCACAAACTGTGACCATCGAAGTTAGGATGCAGTCTCCAGGAAGGAGCCCTGCGGCAGAGGGCTCACCACTCTGGTCCTACAAGAGGAGCGTGGACATTTACAGCCCTACCGTCATGAGCTGGAGGGAGCTGAGCTTCCGGCCAGCTCAATGAACTCCAAGCCGGGGTTCTAGTTACTTAGATTCACCAGCTCACTAAACCTCAGTCAGGACCGGAATGTGTACGCCATAGCGAGTGGCTTCCGTGGGAAGACATATGCTCTTGGGTTATGATTGCTGAGTCCACGGGACACTTACTGTTGGCTCTGTCACATGAAATGCACAAGAAAGCAAATCTTGCCTTCTATGAATGGAACCTGGAAGCCCTGAGACCCTGTGAGGTTTGGGCAGGGCTTATCTTACCCACTCCCCTAGGCATAGCTCCCAAACATCTGCTAACCTCACCTGCTCCGCGGCCCTTCCCGTCTGCCCCCACCCTGCCTTCCTCCTCCACCCAGCAAGTGTTGAGTGGCATCAGCACTAAAACAGCTCTCACATCCTTTCTCCTCTCTCCTATTGTTCCGAGACAAAGATGCTCTGCGACTCTGACCAGGCAGGGCCACTGTCGCTGCCCCTGGATCCACAGCTGTCTTCCGTGCATGGGACGACATCAGCCCCTCACAGGGTGTCCACAGCACTCGACAGCAGGAGCAGGCGCCCACAAGGCTGGATCCCTTCCCTTGCCTTTTCCAGGGAGTAATCTAAGCATTGGAGTCACTGCCAGGGCCAGTCTAGAGGTGACTTCCTCATCAATGCTGTTGGCACGACCCTCGCCCCATACCTTCCCTACACCCAGCATCCTCCCAGGCCTGGGCAATTGGCTCTGGATGGGAGAGTCATCCCTTCTCCTGTCATGTGTCCAGCCACCTGGGGCTGCTAGCAGCTCGTACCCAATAATGGTTTGATCTGTCATCAAGGGACGGCTCCAGAATGAGCCAAGTTGAAAAGCTGAGATAAAGAGGCCAAACATCAAACGACTCTCTGCCATTCCTCAATCTCTATGGGCTGGGACTTTTCCAAGTGAGCTGCCAGACCAGGCTGCTGATGGTGGAGATGAGGGGGTCACGAGACACTGTTTAGTCTCAGTTTGATGTCCTCTGAAAGCTGTAAGTGGGCGAGAGACCTTCAAAGGGTGGGGATGGAAGAGAGAAATGGCTGATATTTAACTGTCACATTTGAGATAAGGGGCTTTAGGGATCTGTCTGTTGCAGCAGGGAGTCAAGTATTTGTTTGGAGATCTCTTAGGGGGTGGGTAGAACACATTTCCACAAAATCTCCGAGAAGCAAGTGTGTGGACCAGTCCAGTATGTTTAAATGGCTCTGTGATCTCTTTAACAATTATAACCCAAGGAATTATCTGGGAATTCTTAAACTAATGTATATGAAGGTTTTTTTATTAACTTTAGTAGGTTGTGAACATTTAAAAATGTCACCTACATTTATCCCTGTGACTGGTAAATAACAGGTACCTAGCAGGTGTCTACCGAGCAGAGAGCTACTCAGCAGAATTCAGGACCATACAGACAAGGGGCTCTGAACATTAAACATTAATTAGAATCATGAAGTCTTTCTGCAAATCCCCCCAGTTCTTACGACAGGCAAATCAGATCCAAATCCCAGGCATGGGTGGGGTTGCATCAGGCATCAGCAGATTTCAAAGCTCCCCAGGTGTTTCCACTGTGCCTTCAAGCCCAGTGCACCGCTAGCTAATGACATGTCATCCTAAGAGGAAGGGGAGCTTTTCCCCCTTGAGCTTCTGGCCCCTGCCTCCTCTGATCTCTTGGGGTGGGGGGAGTGAGGCTAGAGGCAGGTTGTATCATTTTCTTTTTGACAAGGAAATCCTTTCCATGTCCTGTTCCGTTTCATGACCACTGTCTGTGCTAGGTGTTGGTGGACAGACAGAGCACAATGGTGGGCCTGCCCATCAATGGCACATTTTCTGTGGATCTAAGAAACAGTGGTAGGATTCAGGTTTCGGAGGGCACCTATGATATGCTGAGCTGCTGGCTTGTTTAACTGGCCCTTCTTGTTTTGCCAGGTCTTGCTGTTTTAGCCCCAAATGAACACACAGAGACACTATATTAATTATTAAACTGTTGACTGATGGCTAGGGATTCTTACTGGCTAGCTCTGTCTTAATTATTAACTCATTTCTAGAAATCTAAGTACTTCCACATGGTCTTATCTTACCAGAGAAGGGTCTGAACATGTTATTCCTTATTCTGCTACATGGCCTCTCCATTCAGTGCCTCTCTGCCTACCTTTCCCAGAATTCTTTTCATCTCCTAGTCCCGCCTATCTTCTTGCCTCTATTGGCCAAACAGTGATTTATTCATCAATCAATAAGAGAAACATATACAGGACATCCCCCATCAGTATTGTGTCAGTGTGAGTTAGCTTTGATTTTAGACACGAGACAACCTAGAAAGAGTCTCAGTAAGGGATCATCAGCATTGTGTTGGCCTGTGTGTGTGTGTGTGTGTGTGTGTGTGTGTGTGTGTGTGTGTGTCTGTCTGTCTGTCTGCCTGTGTGTGGTGGGGAGTTATCTTAATGTGTGAAGACTCAGTCCACTGTGGGTGTCAACATTCCCTAGGCAGGAGGTTTTGAACTGTTCAAAAGTGGAAAAACCCAGCTGAACACAAGCCAGCAAGTGAGCATACATGCATCCATTCCTCTCTGCTGTTGACTACCGGTGGGTGCGACTGACTGCCACAAGCCCGCTGATGTGGCGTCCCTGACTCGGTGAACTGTGACCTGGAGTTGTCAAACAAATATGTCCCTTTCTGTCCAGGTACTTTATCACAGCAAATAGAAACGAAACTAGGGACTAGATCTCTTCAAGCGCTTGAAGCGTCTCCTCGCTGTTGTCAGCGTGTGGTTCAGACTCCTTCAGCTCCATCGCTCATTGCCGTGTGTGTCCCCCACTCTCCTTTTAGGGATGCTCACGAACACCGTTTGCCGCCATGCCTCTGGTTCACATGGACTCAGCGCAGCAGGGTGCACTGTGGACATTCACCCATGTGCTTTGTGGGGCAGGATGGAAATGCCCCACCCCCAGCATCACCCTAGAATCTCTCTTAAGTTCTCGATGCAGAAATGCAATCAATCTGCCCCCCCCCCCGTCTGCATGCTGCATGGGTTCTTTTCAGATCACAGTGATGTTTCATATGGATCTGAAAATAAGGCAAACAGCAAATAACGAAGTCTGGAGAACCAGTGGGGAATGGCTGGAATGTGTTCCCTGAGATGACTGGGGACCACGGGCTGTGGGTGAGATGTACCAGTGTTGAAGTTCTGAGTTTGGCAGCCACATGCAGCTTTGTTCTTGGGGAACTCGCAGGGAGCATTTCTGGGTCAAGGGGCACGGTTTCTACAACTTGTTTTCAGATGGTCAAGGAAAACAAGCTCCATGGAAAGAAAGGTTGAATCCATGAATCCTAATGTCAACATTCAGTGAATCTGAATAAAGGGTACACAGAGGATTCTTACAGCATATTTTCAACCAGAAACTTAGAGCTTTAAAATCATTTTAAAGTGTGTGTGTGTGTGTGTGCGTGCGCGCGTGCGCCCACTCTTGCATGCATGCGCAGACACACACACACACACACACACACACACACACACACACACACACACACACGCCACATATGAATACAAGCACAGTGTCTGGGGAAGCCAGGAGAGTGAGTCAGATCCAGTGGAACCTGAGCTACAGACAGTTGTAATTTGACTAAGCTGGGTGCTGGGAACGGAACTCAGATAGATCCCCAGCAAGAGATGCCCTCTTAACTTCTGAGACATTCTTCTAGCCATGCACTAGAAATTTAAGTGAACACGTCATTCATTTGACCACACCTGCCGCACCGCATCAAAGTTGGTCTGCCCCTACTTGTTAACCTAATGGCGCTCCCTTCACTGGAACTGCCACTCATTTGATACCTAGATGTTGCTTCAAGGCATGTGCAGGCTGTGGCTCAAGGAGGAGACTCATAAATCCCAGAGGCTAGCTCAGGCACTCACAGCTATACGCATCCCTAGGGGGAGAAGTTACCACCCCCCACATGCTTCTCTGTCTGTCTACCTGGCTTCTGGGACAGCCCTGGTCTCTAGGTACACTACGTGATACCTGACTTCACCAGGCCCTCAGGCTGCAGGTAGCTTTCCTCCTCTCTGCCAAATGATTCAGTGTGCATCCCCGATGGCCTAGCCTGATGCTCCACAGAGAACATCTGTCTGGTTTGGAAAACATGGCCAAGCAGGAACTGGATAATTAATGATATGACCTTGAACTAGAGGGTCACACCTCAGCAGCCTGTCTCCTCTCAGCTTAGACTTCCCCATGACTAGGCTTCTCAGGTTCAGTCAGAAGTGATGACGAGGGTGAGGGTTAGTCCTAACTGGATTGGAACCAAGCTTTAAGAGGTTTGCAGTCACCCAGGAGACACACCTCTGGGCATGTCTGTGAGAGTGCTCCTGGGGAAGGCTAACAAGGGGGATTAGCTTGCACTCAGCAGAGACTAGATCTCTCCATGGAAGCTCAGATATGAGACCTCTCCGGCAAAAAGCAGCGTGCAGACACCTGCCTTCAGTCCCAGCTCTCAGGTTACTGGGTCACTGGGATGTAAGCAAACAGCCTCCCCAGAGCCGTCTCCTTCCATGAGTTCCTGTCCTTTACTCTGCATCCCTTTATCCATGAGCCAGCACGAGCCTTGCCTCCTTTGAGCTTCTCCTCATCAGGTATTTGGCCACAGCAGCGACAGAAGTGACAAATACGCTCAGCAAGCAGAACCCAGTGACCACCCTGCCGAGGCCACACCCCAGCCAGGACCGTGGGAGTTTATCACCGAGTAACCACTTTCCTGTCCTAGGGATGCCCAAGGCGTGTCCTTTTCCAATCCCCATAACCTTTGTGTCTTTGAAAAAAGTGTTTAAGGTCTTTTTTTACCTCTGAGCGGTCACGATGGAGCTGAGAACTGCCTCCTCCCCGGACAGGTGGCTTGTGTCAAAGATGACACTGAACTCGTACTAGGGAGAAAGAAAGAAGTCACTTTTGGCAAGCACAAACCACCCACATTGTGAACTGTGTTTTCTAGAATGGTCTGTAGTTTGTCTTCTGGAAGCCCGCCTGCCTGCATAGCAACTGTTACTTTTTAATGTGTATCTGATTTTCAGGCCCACGGAGGCTTCCACAGCGGGACCATGCCCTTCCCCCCACTCTAGTGAGAAGCACACCACCCGTTTCAGCCCCAGGAAGCCTCAGGGGAAGTGGCACACTGGAACCGCAAAGCCAGGCGTTTCTGATTTCACTTCTGTCACCTGCCCAGGCTTTGCCAAGTTTGCGTATTGACGGCTGTGACGTTTACGAGATGGTTTTTAACTCCAGCAAACACAGATTGTGAATTGTTGAACATGTGTCAAATTATTTGGTTTCCATTAATGTAAGTTCTAGGCTTTTTTTTTTTTTTGAGACACTGAGTTCTGTTAAACAAAATGCCACTGGAGAGAATGAATGGGTGAGGACCATTAAATTGGACCATTACCCGTGATGGACACAAAACATCCCCTTTCTAGGCGGGAGGCTCTGCGGCAGTGGGGCTTGGTTTCTGCAGAGGATGAGGTATGAAGGCAGCACGGGAGGACACAGAAGAAGGGACAGTCAGGGGCCTTGTCCCGGCAGAGCCAGAACTGGCGGAACATCTGAGTTCAGTCAACCACGCTAAGTATTGAAATGAGGCAAGGGCACACGGTTTGGGTGAGAAATCAAAGCCAGAGAGGAAGGCATGACACTGGCCAGGCCGGAAGTGGGTGACAGACACACACTGCCGATCAAAGCTAGCCTCAAGTGTAGTCATGAGGTTGATCCGATGACCCGGGACTCAAGGACAGGTGAGTGAGGGGCCGAGGGGAGGGGAAGCTCAGTCCTCCTGCTGCTCTCCGCACACTCACTTCTGGGTTTAGTCTTGCTAAGGGCCTTAACATCCATATGTGGAATTTTTAAAAAATGAAGCAGAAACAGTTATTAATGTTTGTGACTTCTGCAGCAAAAATAGGAAACCAGTATTCCAACAGTCATTATTTCTATTGACTTTATGACATTTTCAGAAACCCACACTCTACCAGGAGAGACACATAGATATATTTTGGGTTTGATTTGTGATATGAGCTAGATTTTTCACAGCAAAGTAGCATGCTTAAGAAAGAGTGTGGGTATATTTTGATATATATTTTGATAAATAATGAAGTATATTTTCTGCTACTCAAAAAATTTAAATGAAGTGAAGGTGTGTGTGTGTGTGTGTGTGTGTGCATTAAAAGTGCATGCTTTACCATGGGCAAAGCTACCCATAGTGTCTGGTCTTCCTCCTTCTGCCCTTGGCCTGTAGACTAGGGGACACGGTACATCAAATGCAGTTGATGGGTTTGGGTAGTTTGCCAAGACGTGAGCAGACCTTATTTCACTCTAAAACAGTGACCAGGTGCTGGGAGCCAGAGCTCTAGATTCAGCAGTCTGGTTCTATGACCAGGTGGGGGAGGAGAGTGGAGCTTCTACTTTTTTTTTAATGGGAGAAAAAGCTAAATCAGAGAGTTTTCTTTATAACATCCCAACAGAGAAAATATCTACTGGCTCAAAGTCAGTCTTGACTTCTTTAGATTCTAGCTTTGCTTCCACAGACCAGTCTGGTCATTTTTCCTAACCACAGCACCCACTAGAGCATTCCACAAATATCTGCTGTGCCATATAGTATTACTACGTGAGCTTAAGAAATCTGTTGTCTTCTAAACACCAACTTGATCTCAATGCCTTTAGCTTTTCAAAATATGAACCAGAATACGGGTATTTCTGTTGGGAAAAATTGAGGGGGTCTCTAGAAAATATCAAGGACCTAGAGGAATGACAGAGTCAGGACTGTGGGTCAATAGTTCACACCACATATCCCCTTGTGTCCTGTTGGGGACTCAAAATAGTATAGAATATCCTAGGAAAACAAAACATTTTACAAAGGGACATTAACAAAGCACAAAGGCGTCTGTGTGTCTTCCCCCATTGGGAACAATGTGACCCGGAGAGACGGATCATGTCACCATAGATCCCCTGGAGCAGAGCACCAGTGACAAACACACACCAGGACTCTAATAGTCACCCAGCTACCACGGGAGGCAGGGTCTGCTGTGTGTATGTGCATGTGCATGTGTGAGCATGTGTGTGAACATGTGCATACATGTGTGTGCATATGTTCATGCGTGTGTGTAGCTGTGTGAGCATGTGCATGTGTGAGCCTTCATGTGTGCATGTGTGTGTGCATATGTGTGCATATGTTCATGCGTGTGTGTATACATGTGTGAGTATGTACCTGTGTGAGCATGTGCATGTGTGAGCATGTGTGTGTGCAGCAGTGAGTGACTGATGGGAAGAGCTGGGGACAGTGGTCTAGGAAGCACTCAATCCTGCCAAGGGCCTCACCTTGGACTTTGACCTCATGAAAGGAAATCCCACACTGCACTTGAGGAAGTCCGATTCCAGCAGCTCACAGGAAACACCCATCTCCTCCTGAAATGGAAAAATGTCAACAGATGACTAGATGGCATGAAGAGAGGCATTGGGGGCCCCAGTGAGACCACTGGGTCCTTCAGAGGAAAACTGCCAACAGATGACTAGATTGCATGAAGGCAGAGGCATAGGAGGGCCCAGTGAGGCTGTTGGGTCGTTGAGAGCAATTTTGTTGTTCCTGGCTGTCATGCACTCAGGAGCTCTGAGACCTGAGCAAGCCTCCCATTCTTCTCTGGATGCCTGCATATTTCAGCAAGGTCTTTGAGACAGCTGCAGAGCACAGAATTATAGATCATAGCTGCAGAGCACAGATCTACAGATCACAGCTGCAGAAAACAGAACTATGGATCAACTGAGGCCAATGCTTCAGGTCTTAACCGTCATCAACTGAACCAGATTTGGAATCACACAGGAGGCCACCTCTCAGAAAGACGGTGAGGATGTTTCTAGAAAGATTTAACTAAGAAGGGAAGACCCACCCTGAATGTGGGCAGCATCATCCTGTGGACTGGGATACAGACTGAATGAAGAGGGGCCAGTGGGTTAGACGCTTGCTGCTGAGCCAGATGACCTGAGTTTAATCCTTGGGACCCACGTGGCAGAAGGAAAGAACCATTTTCCCTAAACTGTGCCCTGCTCTCCCCAGGTATATCTGTGGTAGACTCACACATGTACACACAATAAATAACTATTAGTTTTGTAAAGGAAAAAGGGAGCTGAGCACCAGCATTCATCTCTCTCTGCTTCCTGACTGCAGATGCAGCGTGACCCGCTGCCTCATGCTCCTGCTGCCAGGCCTTCCTGCCATGATGGACTGTATCCTCAAACTGTGAGCCAAAATAAACCCTCTCTGTCTTAAGCTGCTTTTATCAGGTATGTTGTTATCAATGAGAGAAGAAAAAGAGTATAAACCCAGGCTGCCCGGGTAAGCTGGACTAGACCGTAAGTGGGCTGGAGGCTTCCTAACTAAAAAGTAACCTATATTCCTGTCTCTTTTATTCCAAGTCTTCTGTGTTAGTTGGGATTTCTATTGTTGAGAAGAAAGAGACACCATGGCCACATCGACTCTTGTAAAGGAAAGCATATAATCGGTCGGCTCACAGTTTCAGAGGTATAGTCAGTTATCATTGTGGATTATGGGATGTGGGTGGCAGCGTGCAGGCAGACATGGTGCTGGAGGAGGAGCTGAGAGTTCTATATCTTGATTGGAAGGTAATAGGAAGTGAACTGTGTACCACACTGACCTCAAAGTCTGCCCCACAGTAACACACTTCCTCCTACAAAGGCACACCTACTCCCACAAGGCCACACCTCCTAATGGTGCCGCGCCCCATGGGGACCATTATCTTTCCAACTACCACACTCACCCACTAAACACCCCTTTCAAGACCTTCCAGCTTAAGAAATACAACAATGTCTTTTTTTTTTCATGGCACTTCCTAAGTTGTTGGCTGTGACGAAACAAAGCTGAATATCTTCTCCCTGTCACCAGCTGTCAGAAAGTCACTGAAGCGGATGATGAACGCAAGCCTTGTTTGTTCTAATGAGAAGCCACAGAAGTAGCTGCTGGTGCTCTGGTGAAGAGTGGAAATTTGTGTGGTCCCGATCAGTGGTGGGAATGACAGACAAGGCTTTCCCACGCAAGGCAGAGTGTGCTTGCTGTTGAGTAAGGTACATCCTTGTTATTGCTGAAGGGGAACTGAGGATGCATTTTGAATGCCAATCTGAGTGTTCTCAACATGGTTATTGTACAGAAAGGAGAGAAGGATATTCCTGGAGTGACAGATACTACCATGTCTCATTGGTTGGGACCTAAAGGAGTTAGCAGAATCTGAAAGCTTTTTAATCTCTCTAAGGAAGATGATGTCTGCTATTCTTTGTCAGAAAACCCTTACAAAAAGAAGCCCAGGACCAATGCATCCAAGACTCAGCATCTTGTTACCCCACGTGTTCTGCCACACAAACACTCATGTGTTGCTCTGAAGAAACAACGTGCTAAGAAAAACAAGTGGAGGCTGCAGAACACGCTAAACTTTTGGCCAAGAGAAAGAAGGAAGCCAAAGAAAAGCGCCAGGAGCAGACTGCCAAGAGATGTAGGCTGTCCTCCCTGAGAGCTTCTTCTCTGAGTCTTTAAGGGTAACAAATAGATAATCATACTATGAGAAGACAACAACAAAACAAACAAAGAAAACACACCAAGGAAAATAGGGTTTCTTTCCATAGCTCATGGTATAAGCTTTCCCAGGACGGAGAGTAAATGCCAGGGTGAGGTGATGTTTACAGGCCTCCCAGCCTTGGCTGGACTCTGCAAGCACTGGCTCGAGAGAACGCAGAGAGGGAGATGTTCTTGTCTCACTTAGGCACAAGGTTTCTAACCCAGGTCAGAGGAAATCCAGGATGCTTCATGACCCATGGGCCTCTCTGCTCTCCTGAGACAAAATTAAAATACCCATGCACTGACAATTTGGAGACAGAAAAGAAGTAAAAAGGGAGCCAACACCTCTTGAGTGCCTGCCAACACGAGGCAACTTTGTGTCTCACGTCTGGAGGCTGAAGTTCAGTGACAGTCGTTCAGCAGATAGGGCCAAAGCCAGAAAGAATTTGGATAATACTTGGCCAACTCTGGAAGCACTCCTCACTCCTTCCATGGAGTCTACCATCTAGAGAATGGTTGTGGCTGAAGACAATGGCCAGGAGTCAGCTTACAGACTCCAGCACTGAAATGCATCCATGCCCCCTTTCAGTCAAATTTCTTCCCATTTTATTGAGTCAGGGTCTCATGCATCCCAGATTGGCTTTGAACTCACTATGCAGCAGAGGATATCCTCCTGCTCCTAATCCTGCTCCTCCCCTACCTCTACCTCCTGGGATTACCAGCATCGCTGCCACACCCAGCTCTTCCTGGCAACTTTCACGGTCTGTTTTTTTACATTACTGCCGTGATTTGAAAGGAAACGGCCCCCAAAGGGAGTGGCAATATTAGGGGTTATGGCTTTGTTGGAGTAGGTGTGGCCTTGTAGGAGGAAGTGTGTCACTGTGGGGGCAGGCTTTGAGGTCTTCACTGCTCAAGCTACTCTCAGTGTGGTAGACAGTTCACTTCCGGTTGTCTGTGGATCAAGACGTAGAACTCTCAGCTCCTCCAGCATCGTTCCTGCCTGCACGCCATCATGTTCCACCATGATTATAATGGACCAAACCTCTGGGAGTGTAAGCCAGACCCAATTAAGTGTTTTCCTTTATAAGAGTTGTTGTGGTGAGGGTGTCTCTTCACATCAATAGAAACCCTAATGAAGACAACAAATTCTATAAATGTTTCTATTGAAAACATGAACATGTGTACCAGGTAGTGATGGCATATAGTTCCCATGAAGCCAGAACAGGGCAGTAGATCCCTTGGAGATGAAATTACAGGTAGTCATGTGTTGGGAGGTCATTCTGTAAATATGTGTCTGATTGGTTTGAATAAAGCACTGTTGGCCAATAGAGAAACAAGATAGGTGGGACTAGGAGTCTAGGATGGTTCTGGGAATTGTAGTGAGAAGAGCTATCGCCATGTGCTCTCCTGGGAGCAATGGGCGCTCAGAAGTGTGTCCTCAAAAAGATAAGTTCTTATAATATATATATTAGTAATTATGGGTTAATAATCAAAATACAGCTAGCCAATAAGAAACCAAGCAAACGGCCAATAGCTTCATAATTAATATAGCTTCCTATGTGTTATTTGGGGGCTGAAAGCAGCAACAGGAACCAGGCGGCAGGCAGGAAAAGTAGATGTTACAAACATGAGCCACCATGTGGGTGCTGGGAATCGAACTCAGGTCTTCTGTAAGAGCAAAAGGTGCTCTTAATGATTGAGCCATCTCTGCAGCCCCAGAATGCTTTTTTTTTCTTGAGTTGGGAGCCAGTTACTTAGGTTTGACCATTTTGTGAGAATTCATGGAGTGAAATTTAATGACTTAGGTACTCTGTTAAACATTAAAACAAAGAAGACAAAGCTGTAAACCAATGGGTTTTGAGAGATGTTTTAATTTATACCTGCCATGGAATTATTGTAGTTATTAAGTTATGGTCTATATTCAATATTAAAATTTTATTGTTAATGAAAAAAACATTAAAACAATTTGTCCTATAAACTAGCAATGCAGTATAACACACGAAATAACAAATACAACTAAGCAAACAGCAGGAGATAAATATAAGAGGAAACCACTATAAGTCTTTTTAGCACTTAGAAATAACTGATATGGCTGATTTTAAATTTTCTAATGGCTGGCTATGCCCAAAGGTAGTGGTGTTCACATGGAGACCCAAGATGGCCTGCATTAATGTTACCACAGAAACATTAGAAAATGCAGATTCTTGAGCTATGCTCTATTGAATATGTATCTCTAGGAGACTCGGGGGTCATGGGACCTGGGATGAACACTGGATCATTCATAGTTCTCTTTTTTCCCCCAAACTCCTGCATGTGTGAATGTGTTTAGAAACTGGGTCTCATGTATCCTAGGCAAGAAGACTGGGCTGGCAAGATAGTTCAGTAGGTAGAGGCACTTGCTTCCAAGCCTGATGACCAAATTCAATTCGCAGGACCCACATGGTGGAAGGAGAGAGCTGAGGTGCACACACACACGCACACACACACACACACACACACACACACACACACTTTTAGAAGGTGAAGGTGTGGGCAGCAGGTGGGCACACACACACACTCAAACACACACACACACACTTTTAGAAGGTGAAGGTGTGGGCAGCAGGTGGGCACACACACACACATGCACACACATGTGCACACACACGTGCACGTGCACACACTCACACACACACACACACGCTCTCACACACACACGCACACACTTTTAGAAGGTGAAGGTGTGGGCAGCATATATTAAGAGAACTCCAATGTAATAGCTGTTCATCCAATACTTTGTTGCTTTTCAGGCACTGTTACATTATTTAAAAAAATAGGTTTACTTATTTTGTTGTTTGATGTGTAT